ACTTGCGCACAGAGGGGTGCTTGCAGCACATCGAGTGTGGCACTTGCACGCAGTCCCTGCACACACACTCACTCACACACACACACACACACACTCTCTCTCTTTTTCACACACTCACCATCACCGCCTCCCCCTTCTTGTCAAACCAAACGGGCACAGGGCGCTGCATCCCGTGTTTGAGCGGTACACGGCAAAGACGTCGCTCCGCTGCCGCGTGTGCCAGCACAACGTCGTGCGCCCCGAACTTGGCCCAGACTCGTCAAAGTTCAAGATTGCCCAGTTTGCAAGGTAGTGGCACACACACACTCGTATGATTGCGGCGTGGCAGCAGCAGCAGCAGCAGTGGTGGTGGTGGCAGTGGTGGCAGTGGTGGTGGTGATGGTGGCAGTGGTGGTGGTGATGGTGGCAGTGGTGGTGGTGATGGTGGCAGTGGTGGTGGTGATGGTGGTGGTGGTGGTGGTTGTTGTTGTTGCACAGCATGGATCGTGTGTGTGTGTTTGGTTGGCTGTTTGTGCCATTGGCTCGCTGGGTTTCTTGTCTTGTCTGTACTGAAACTGGTGTGCTTCTTGTGCGCTTGACGTTTCCAGCAACCACGTCCCACGCGTCGTCATTCTACAGAAGCCAGACCTGTCATCCCCGTCGCCAGAGGTGCGCACGTGTGTGTGTGTGTGTGGGGGGGGGGGGGGTGAGTGTTGGGGGTGTGGCAAAAGGGCTGCGTTTGCTTGCGTTGAGCGAGACAGCAAAGTGATGAGCCATGCGACAAACACCATGCCCGCTCGCATATGCATGCACAAACGTGCAACCAAACAAACTATTTTCTTGTAGATTGTGCTCGGGATTGAGAACCCGCGCGATTATGTCGTCAACATCTCCTTTTCGCTGCCGGAACCAGCTGCTGGCAATGACGGTATTGATGGACAGGAGGCTGGTGTGGCGGCAGAGCAGCAGCAGCAACAACCAGTGGAGGTGAGTGACTACACTGTCTACGCATTGCAACTGTTGAAGCACGCCTTGTGTCATGTGTTGTGGCCTGTGTTGTGGCCTGTGTTGTCATGTGTGTGTTGTTATGTGTTGTCATGTGTTGTCATGTGTTGTGGCCTGTGTTGTCATGTGTTTTGTCTCCACACGACACACACGCACACACACGCACACACATGCACACACACAACATGCACAGGTTGTTGTACCGGACAAGCCCGTGCCTGTGCCGCAGTATGAGCCTCTGCGGAGCGTCGAGGACGAGGTGACCTTTGACGATGACCCGCCATGCGTCGTTCATCGCGCCCTCAGCGGCACCGTGCAGATCCGCCTTCCGCTTCGCGTCAACCGTGATGCTGCTGGTGGTGATGATGCAGCCACAGAAACGCACCCAGAACAGCAACAACAGAAGGAGCCACAACAGCCACAACAGCAGCGACGCGTGCACACGCTGGTGAACATGCAATATCAGCATCACGTGGTCCAGTTGAAGGCGCGTGCGCACGGCAACGCGGAATCGTCCGTCGTCTCCGTGGTCACCCCACTGCGCCTTTTGCTGTCGTAAACCGTTCTGAAGAGACAACGCTGGCAATAATTTTCCCGCAGATCCCTGCCATTTTTCTACCGCTGCTGTCCTCCCTCAGTGTTTTGTTTGCAATTTGACCTTTTCACACACTTTGCCAGCAAGCAACGTCGTCATGCCCGCCCACATCCATTTTGCCACCCACCCACCCATCGTCGTTTGTTTGATGTGCTGCTGCTCTCGTATCAAATCACCATCTTGTGAAGATAAAAGAGATGCAATCGTGCCTGCAACCCGCACTCCTGTCGCTGCTGATGGCAGCGCTCGTTACAGCAGTCTCTGCAGAGTGAGTGAGAACGAGGAGAGGCTGATGATTCCTGCGCTGTGATGTGCAGTGCAGTGATGTGAAGTGTGACACGATTCATTGCCATTTTGGTTCTTGTGGTGTGTTGACTTGCTTCTGCTGTCTTGCCTGAGCCTTACACCACACACACACACACACACACACACACACACACACACACACACACACACACACACACTCGCTCACTCACTCACTCACTCACTCACTCACACACACACACACTTGTGTTGCCGACGTTCCTGCTCATCCGCCTCCTTGTCCTTTCCATTTTGCCAGGGTGCAGACGATCCCAGCTCACGTTGTACTGGACAACGACGGGTGGCACAAGGCGGTCACGTTTCGATGCCAGGTGACACGCCTGCGGCTGCCGTTTTGCCTGATTCTCCGTTCACCTGTGTTATCGCTGGTGTCCATCTCGAGCTTGCTACATTCATTTCTGTCTGCGTGCCTTTCCAACCCAGCCACTCACCAAAACGCCCACTCCTCTGCGTTTTCGTGGTGTATCATCGCAGCCGTGGCCATCACGAACCGACGACAAATGCTATCCAGGCAACGTTGATGGCGCGCAGTGCTTTCGCCGCATCGTGGACGGGTGGGTGTATGTGTCTTGTGCTAATTTTGTGTGCTTGTGCATG